AGTACCTGCGTTTGAGGGGGTCGGATCTGCCTTAGAAGTTTTTCCGAGTGGCGGTGATATTTTCCCGGTTGATTTGCCCGATTTTACTGTTTTTATGTACGGTATCCTCTCCCCTCTAACGCAGATACTGAAAGGAGGTGGAAAATTGGACTGGAAGTTGGGAAAATGTGGGAATTCAGTAAGGAGCAAGGCAGGAAGTGGAAAGAGGTCCTGATTTCGGAGGGTTGGAGGAGAAAGGGGGGGGGAAGCGTACTGACACCGACATTTCATGCATCACTGTGCTGTGTACTGCTCAAAATACTTGATGAATTTCGTGCATTGCGCGAGGAATGCGTCCGGCACTTTCACTTTTATATCTTTTATATAGCTGTTATTTTTAGAGAACCTTATTTAGGCAGGTTACATGGGGCTCCTGTCTATACTACGGAAGCAAAGGGAACGAGAACGTGAGATTCGAGTATTGATTCTAGGTCTTGACAATGCAGGCAAGACCACAATTACTAAGAAGTTTCTCGGTGAAGATCTGAGCTTGGTGGAGCCCACACTTGGTACAAGTCATTATCTTATTGAAGTAGGTCTCTAGTCATAGCTAGTGATTTTGTTATTAAGGATTCAACATAAAGACTGTGGACTTCCAAGGTTTCACGATAAACTTTTGGGATGTTGGTGGGCAGAAAAGTCTACGTTCATATTGGCGAAATTACTTCGAGCAAACGGACGCGCTTATTTGGGTTATTGATTCCGGAGATCAAGGTTTGCTTCTTGGAACATTTTCTGAATATCTCGTATTATTTGTAGGGAATTTCGCTCCCACTTTACTGCTTCGTGCAATTTTCAGAGCGACTGCTTGCATGCAGAAATGAGCTGAGATCACTTCTGGGAGAAGAACGGCTCTCGGGAGCATCGTTACTGGTTCTGGCCAATAAACAAGACCTGCCCAGTGCAGCACGTGTAGCTGACATCGCCAAGGTATATATTTTCCAGGTCTTGATCTACAAACAGCATTTACACCGTTATTTTTCTTTACCGACCCACACCTTTGCATTCGAGTATTCTTTTTCTGCTCTTTTACTTTCGTAGTGCAATAATGGGAAGCCTCCAGAGTGAGTGGCCGAATTTTGAGTATCTTGCTGGGAGCCTTCGCGAGCGGTTTTCGATGCGAAAAGTAGCCTTAGCGTAGTCGGATACATTTCGTTACATATCTGAAGAAAAGTTTCTGTACGTAGAACGGCTGGAATTCAGTTACTGTAGATGACGGCTCGCACTTCTCACACTAGGATATTCACGTCAAACATTCCAGTTCCTCCTCAACCCTCCTCGCTCGACGTGAGTTTTGGAGGGAAAGCTGGTAGTGTGTTAGGGAAAAAGAAAAGCGCTGGAAAATTTGGAGATTCAGGTAGATGGCAGGGGGTTGGACAAGGGGTGGGGAGAAGAGAAGAAATTTGAGAGGGGTGGTCCTATTTTGCAGAAAATTCTCTACCCCCACCCCCAACGGCCAGGACGTGCCCTGTCGTCGCTATGCAGTCCTTTTGGTGCTCATCTGTGTAGAACAACCTGGAAGGGTTAGTCTGTGATCAAATTGAGTATGTGGTCGCCCTCCGCTGAAAATCCACTAACGCCCCTTTAACGGTGCACGAACAGTGCGCTTTCGATTTGCGAAACGTACTGGGTGCATCTGTCCTTTTTTTGCGCTGAAATCCCCATCGCACACATTAGCAAAAGTCAGAAGATGTTATATCGCTGCTGTGTTCCCTACTTTGCTCGCATAATAGAAGGAATGCGACCCTGAAAGTTAGGCGGCTTGAATATGTGGTGTATTCGTAAGAACCTGACGTCAATGGTCGTTTTTGAAAAGACGTCATTGACGTTTCTTCACGGAGAATGTATGATGTAATGTCTTGCTTTTTGTTCCAGCCAGGCCTTTCTTCTCCACCTTTCTATTTTGGTGGGAATATGACTGATATGAGCAACTCGGCATTGTTAAGGAAACAAGGTAGATGAGATGCATTGAAATTGTTGTTCTATACAGCGATGAAGCTCTCGCCATGGATCAGCCTCTCCTCGGTGTGCGCCACGCATATCGCCTACATTAGAATCATGGTTGTATTTTGAATGCGATCTGGTCTGGAGCGATGAAAAGCTCGGTTAAACCAAGCGGGAGCCGATCGGGGAAGTGGTAGGAAATGCCCCCGCCACAAGGCATCTCCCGCGTGATTACCTATGAAAGCACATACTTATTAATTAGCTTTGGAACTTCATGTCTCTTTCCTTTGGGTTACTTCCTATCAGTTACTGGTTATACATACATATGTGAATAGTGATTGATGTTTCTTTCCCTTTACTGTCTTTGGCGAAGAACACCTTTTTGTGCTATTGTACAGAAAGGTTTTCACTGAGTTTTTGGCGATCGCCTACCACAGTACTTCCCATTATGCAGGAAAGCAACCCCCAAGTGGGCACGTCGTCGTTGAGATACTCCAGCGATGGGGGGGGGGGGCGTATTATACAGCTGGGTGTGGGGTGAGGGGATAGATGGATTCCTCGGATACTTTGCTACAACGCGAGGCAACCGGTAACTGATGGGGGGAGGAACCTCCACCCATGGAGCAATTGAATCGATCAAATTGCGATATTTCGGTCCGCAATCTCATAGCCCCACTTGTCCCACTTTTCAAGAGCGTTCTGGACGGTTTGCTCCGCTAGTTTCTTCGCTGGAAACTTATTGAGAGGGTGCTCTAATTAGTGATCTTACTGGGGTTCCTAGGCCCATGGTAATAGCGGGATATGTTTTCGAGTGTTGGTGAGTGGGCTTAGAACGTTGCGCTGTTTTCATTCCCTTGCCGATCTAATGCGACGCCCTTGCGTTTATACTAGGGCTTGTCTGCGTTGGGGATCCTCAGCGAGGAAGGCGGGGGGGGGGTTGCGTTTGGTTGCTGGAGGGAGGTGGTCAATGTTTTCGGCTGCTGACTTTTTTCCTCCTTCATATGTGCTGCATACCTGCCCCTTTCCCTGTGCACGCTCTGTCCTGCTCTACGGCACTGTTTTTCGGGGAAAATATCGGAAAAATGGGCGGACGTTCAGAAAATCAGAGAAAATGGTAGGCAGGATGGGGGATGGGGAAGAAGGAGGGGAGACGGTCGTTCGACGATTTGGGGGGGGGCATTTTGCTGCTTAACCAGTTCCTGTTTACGAGTCTTACTATGCCGAAACCTATGAACTCTTGTGAAGCTGGGGCAAGCTCGGGAGGCCACCATGGTAAAAGCTGATAGTTCTTGTAAGCTCATGAAGTAGCTTTGTAGATGGCTTGACAGGTCGATGGGAATTATCAAAAGTGCAAGATGTCCCCTCCCCGAACTCGCCGATTTTAAAGGGGGCTTCGTTTTGCAAAGATTTGGCAGGACGTGCCCTAGTTTACACTGCAGCGAGTTTTTATGGATCTAAGTTGTCGTGAACTTTGTGAGCACTCTTATGCTTGTCTATACCTTCAGCTGTACAGTTTGAAAACCCCTTTTTAGAGGGGAAAGATCGTACCGACTTGTCCAAAATCCACTCCACTTTGTCCTGACCCCTATCTCATATGAAGGTAGAAAACTTGATGGAGAATTTGACCCTTTCATTCATCCAGTGTTACTCTAACTGTTTCAGATATTGGAGTTGGAAGAAATCAAATCGCACCATTGGCGTATCTACAGCTGTAGTGCCATGACGGGTGAAAATCTACTGGAGGCAGTCAGTTGGATGTGTGATGACGTTGCCAGCCGGATTTTCACCCTTGAATGAATGGTATGGAAGTGCGCTGTCTAACGCCAACGACCAACAATCGACCGACGGCCCTATTCGATTGTGGTGGTCCTCAGAGCTGTGTGAGGCCTGTGCAAATCAATGTGTGGTCGTGAGCGCGTCGCTATGGTGTGCGACGCGGTTGTATCAGCTGACCGCCAGCCTGCTCGTCGCCGCTTGACAGCTGCAAACTCTCGCAGCGCACTAGTGCAGGCGGAGATGTTTCTAAATGTGGTTGTTTTGATCTCGTTTCGTCACGGTTATTACAATATTTTACTTTCAAATAGAATACGGTAACAAGACAATTTTGGATTCCGCAAACGCCTCGGGGGCCCTTATTCGAGAACAGATTATTCAGTGCTTTGTGAGCCTTGCTGTAGGGGAGAGATACTCCAGCTAGCTATTTTGCGAGCTGGTTTTCGTCTGTTGTTTTCGTGATATTCCCGAGGTTACTTGTTATCTTGTGACCTCGGTCGTAGATGCGATTCTCTGGGAATCTTATTGATCAATGTCGTTTGTTTCATGTCGCAGTTATTTAATAAATTATTGGATATTTATGAAAGTTTAGTGCTCTTGAATGGCTTCATTGATTGCACCAAGCCGGGGATTAGGCTAGAGCTTCCTGTGCAGCGCTACAGCAGAGGGCAAAAGGTCAATGGTCGTTAGAGTGCGCCTACCCAGCCACCTAGTGTAGTACACATGCAGCGATAGGTGCAAGCCAGTGAGTGATGTGCGCATGTAAACTTAAGTTTTTTTGTTACATTTTTTAACCCATGAGTCCATTTTCTCCCCAAGAAATATCGATTCGGCCCAGATTGCATATTGCCATAGCTTTCCTCTTGAGAGGGGCTTAAGGGCGATCAATGTGTATCACATTACTTTCTCCTAAGGATTGGTTCAGTCCCGGTATCGATTTCCGTTTCCCATTTACTGTCAACACCTCTTTTGGGACCCTTAGTTTGTACAGTAGCATAACTGGCATGGGAAACTTTTCCCTCCTTGCTGTCCGTACCCTCTTCTTTGAGACCTACTATCTCATCCGAAATATTCGCCGAGCATACCATGCTAGTGAGAGGCAGGACACGTCCTGCCATCAGGGAATAATTCTAGCAGAATACGACCCCAGCCTTTTCCCTCCCCTCAGATACCACCAACTTTCTGGATTTTACCAACTTCATTACTTTTCTGAAGTTATTTTTTCAAGAATCATAGCGATCTTTTTCAAGAATCAGATCCTGAAATAAGAGGAACGGGAGCATTTTTCTCTACTTGGATACCCCTCCCTCCCGCGACCGAATACGACCCCCCTCGCTGGGGATACCCAACCAACGTGACGTGCCCTGGTGGAGACGGGGGAAAAGAGGTGAAGGAGTGACTGCCAAAACGTCACGCCATTGATTCAGGAAAAGGGGAGGGGGGAGGATATATTGCACGCCTGGGACGAGGAAGTTGTCAACTCTTTTCTATGCCAAGTATGATCCTCCCTGTCCCCACATCGAGGCTAAGTACGGCCCTCGATGTGAATTCCAGAACCAAGGTCTGCCCTATTCAGGGGCTTGGGATCCAAAAGGGTAAGGATCGAATCGATAGCCTTTGTTACTTGTGAGAACGCCGTAACGCTGCGACCACTAAACTCCCGTAGATGTCACCTTGAATAGATTGGTGTCTAATAAGTGACCTTGGGTTTGGCTATGGGAAGGCCACAGGAGTCCACTGACATGGGTCATGTTTGTTCCTCGCATCTCTCTGAGTGATTTAGAAACAAACGACACCCATTGAGGAGTCAATGCTAGTCCCTTTATCGCTGAGGAGGCTCTAAAATCACGTCTCTGTGACGCGTAGGACACGTTTTTTCCCCGTTGCCCTTATATTGCACCAGTTCAATATCCACTGAAGCGTGTGGTTGACGTCGGCGATGAAGACCTTGGGATAAAAATTACGGTCGTCGGCGGGGAGGAAAAAAACGTGCTCCTTTTACGCACTTTTGCAGTTTAATCCGCATTCTGCATCAGCCTTAAACAACTACCTGGGACATCGCTAGGTTTATACGGGATTATTTTAGGAGGCAGGGTCATCGCCCTGTGCAGACTTGAGGGTCACGCCGGGGGTAGCGTGACATTAGGGGTGGGGCTAACAGGGGTAGCAGTGTTACGTTGCGTCATTCAGTGTCTCTCTTTACCCGATTTTCACGCGTCAGGGTCGTAAACGTTTATCCAGTCTAGGATATGGGAAGTCAAATGTAGGAAAAAGATTTAGGAAGTCGTATGAACCCCTGAACTACTTTCTCTTCCCTATGACTA